CTTGAACTTCAGAGCCTCACTGTCACATACCCCACAGACTTTAATTATATAATTATGTAAGACCTGATTCTTTTTTTAAACATTTTTTATTGATTTATAATCATTTTACAATGTTGTGTCAAATTCCAGTGTTCAGCACAATTTTTCAGTCATTCATGGACATATACACACTCGTTGTCACATTTTTTCTCTGTGAGTTATCATAACATTTTGTGTATATTTCCCTGTGCTATACAGTGTAATCTTGTTTATCTATTCTACAATTTTTCTGACTTTACCCATGGAAACCTCAAAACATGGGCGTCAAAGAATCCAGATTACTTAGATTCTCAGACTAAAGTATCCAAACCACTTTAAAGACTCCTGAATAGTAATACTATTTCACATGATGACATTTTACATTTTACAAAGACACATCCACCTACATTTTTCTATACTTTTTGCACAGCAACTCTGCAAGGTAGAGATAGAAATAAGCATTATCTTACTATCTCAGAAAAGAAAATTATCCTAAAAAAGTTCTCATGGCTTTCCCAAGGGAAATTGTTAAATGGTAAAATAAAGAGTCAAATCCAGGCTTCCTGATAACATGCTCTATGTTCTACTTATTTCACTAAAGAGTATCTGCAAATAGTCATATATTGCATCAGGAGAGGCAGGGTCTACACTCTGGAGATTATACACATTTTGAAACAGCTTTAACCTTAGCTTTTGCTGGGTCAGTTAGCTGTATTTAACCTATTTAATCGACCATTCATTAGAATCCAGAATATACTCGTTCCTTTGATTATGCTACTTTCCAAGAGGATTTGACATAAAGCTATCACATGTAAGCAAAACACCTTAATGTGGAAAGGGAAGGAAAAAATGATAGTATATTTATGGAACAGTTACTATGCATCTAGCCTTTCACTTACTTTATATACATTTTTTAATTCTTACAAAAACTTTTAGGAGGTTAGTACTCTTATTATCCCCTTTATGCAGATAAGCCTACAAAAGTTAGTGAATTTGCACTAGATAATATAGTTAGTAAATACTAGAGTTAGAATTCAAGCTAGGATCTATGTGATTCCAAATACCATGCTTTTCCTATTATTTACAATTCTATATAAATGTAAGAAATTGTTTTTGCAAAATACTTTTATTTTCCAAACTACTTTAATATAATTTTTTATATAAGTGTTACATAACCACCCTAAACATTTCCAATAATCACCTCTTAAAAATGGGCATGGAAGGCAATATCTTCAATTGACAGATTAGGAACCTAAGACAGAGAAGACAAGTGATCTGCCAAAGATTTCACAGAGATATAGTCCATAGGGCCATGACTCATTTTAAATGTTCTGTGTTACTGGCATTTAAACCATGCTGCCTTATAGAGGAAGATAATCAATGAAATAAAATAAGGCAAATTATATAAACTGTATAAAGGAAAAAACAGTGGAAATAGAAAAACTATACATAACATCATCAACAAAAATCAAAGGGGGGAATTTTTTTTTACATTTAGACATTGGATTAAATAAAAAGAAAATAAATATATTAATCACATTTTTAAAGCATAATGTATTGAAAAACAACAAACTGCACCCAATTTTATGTTGTGAATAAGAAAAAGAAAAAGAAGGATATGGGTCAGAAACATGGGAGAGAAGGAAAAGATAACAAATATAAAGTAAGGAGAGAGAAAAGGAGAACAATATTGGCTCCAGGAGGAAAACCTAGGACTCGTAATTTGAAGTTATTGGATAGAGGGTGGCTTTTGTTCCAGAAAGAATATTTTAATAATGGAAAGTTCAATAATATTCTTAATTGCCTAATTCAGTGGCATTTTCTGAGTCTTCATCAAGCAGAATTCCTCTCCAAATTTACTCAGCATCTTTGTAATTAATCCTGTTCTTCCTTCTTTCCTGTGATACGAGACTTTTTTGGCTCTTCTTCTTCAGTGTATCAAGACACTAGCCTTAGTTTTGTTAATAACTTATGCTATGACCTTGGGCTAGTCATTTGTCTCTGGAATGAATTTCTTCAAAATTAGAGTCTTTAAAGTCCTTTCCAGTTCTAGAGCACTTCCTTTAATGATAATTTTTCCAACTTTTAATCAGTGTTTATTACTAGGCTTTCTGATCTCACACTGCAAGCTCTTATTTGGTAACAAAGGGTGACTTTCAAATCTCTGTCACCTTTTCTCCCAAATACCATATCTCTTTATGCAAACCCCTCCACCTGATGTCCCATAGGCATCTCAAACAAACTCATCTTCTGTGTCAATTTACTCTTCTTCTTATATTCCCTTGTATCTTTAATAATATTGTAATCTCCAGTTCAAACCTCTTAAGGTCAATGTCTAAGCACTGTCTTCCATTCTTTTTTTATATAAAGTCAATTAACAGTTCTATCAGGTTTAGCTCTGAATGTCTCTTGTTTTCATTCCATTACTGGTTCGCTAGTGACCTGGGTTACGTACTCGTTTCCTAGTGCTCAAAAACTTTCACAACAGTTTACGACTCTCCATCCACTGCCCCCCCACTGCAGATCTCTAGCCCTTTCTTTCAAGCCATGCCTTGTTGCAGCCAGAGCTAACTTTCTTTGATGCAAGCGTAGTGATATTTGATGAATTACCACTCATAAGGCACTGAAAATTATTCCTGTAGAACAGTTAAGTGTTGTATAAATGTTGGTTATTATTATGATTCCTCTTAACAACAACAATAAAACTTTGAAAACGTCCCTTGATACACAGAGAAAAAGTCTGTTTCTTAGATTAACATTTAGTAATCATTACAGTTTGACACCAACTTATCTTTCCAGTTGTATTTTCTACAGTATTTCACTGACAAAAAATATTTAATTGACTTATTTTCACACATATCCATTTTAAGGGAGAATTGTCCAGCTTGTGAGCACTACTTTATTTTGTATCAAGTGATGTTATTCTCCTCATGCATGCATCACCACACCATAGTTATTTGTATCATGGTTAGGTATCAGTCATATTTTAGAACATCCAATCAGGCTATCAATTATGTCTTATGACCTATTACAAAAAAACAAATAAACTAGACCAAAATCTGATATTAATTTTCTTAAGAATTTGAACTAATAAAGTTGTGAAGAATTTCCTAGTTAGCAGTAAGAAGGAGAAAAGTGATAATGAAGGGAGAAGTAAACATGAGTGGCCATGATGAGTCATATGCAGAATGAAGTTAGGTGTGGGCAAAAACTAAGCAGGAGGAAAGCAAAGAAAAAAACATTTATACTGAGAGGAGATATGCCATAAGAAACCAGGACCAACTGGCTTTTTAGAGAATTTTAAACTGTACAGGCATAATTTGTTTTATTTTGCTTCACTTTATTACACTTCAGACATTTTGCTTTTTAGAAATTAAAGGTTTGTGCCAACCCTGCAAGTATATCAATGCCATTATTTTAACAGCATTTATTCTCTTTTTGTCTTGATGTCGCATTTTGATAATTCTTATATTTTAATTTTTTATTACTATTATATATGTTATGGTGATCTGTGATCAATGATCTTTGATGTTACTGTTGTAATTGTTTTGAGGCACCACAAACTGCACCCATGTAAGATGGTGAACTTAGTCAATACATATTTTGTGTATTCTGACTGCTCCACTGCCAACACTTTCCCCAGTTTCTCTCCCTCTCCTCAATCCTCCCTATTCCCTGAGACACAACAATATTGAAATTAGGCCAATAAGTAATCCTACAATGTTCTCTAAGTGCTCAAGTAAAGAAGAGTTGCACGTCTCTCATTTTAAATCAAAAGCTAGAAATAAGTTTAGTGAGGAAAGCATGCCACAAGCTAAGATAAGTTGAAAGCTAGGTTTCTTACATCAAATAGCCAAGTTGTGAATGCAAAGGAAATATTCTTGAAGGAAATTAAAAATTTTACTCCAGTGAATACATAAATGGTAAGAAAGCAAAACAGCCTTATTGCTGATTTAGAAAAAGTTTTAGTGGTCTGGATAGGAAATCAAACCAGCCAGAGCATTTCCTTAAGTTAAAGCCTAATTTGGAGCAAGATCCTAGCTCTTTCCAATTCTATGGAGGCTGAGAAATGCGAGGAAAATTTCAAGAAAGTTTGAAGCTAGCAGAGGTTGGTTCATGAGGTTTAAGGAAAGGGCCATCCCCATAACATGAAAGTGCAATGTGAAGCAGCTAGTGCTGATGTAGAAGCTGTAGAAAGTTATCCAGAAGATCTAGCTAAGATTATTAATTAGGTGGCTACACTAAAGAACTGATTTTCAGTGTAGACAAAACATCTTCCTATTGGCAGAAGATGCCATCTAAGACTTTCATAGCTAGAGAAGAGAAGTCAATGCCAGGCTTCAAAGCTTCAAAGGACAGGCTGACTCTCTTAGGAGCTAATGCAGCTGGTGATTCAAAGTTGAAGCCAATATTCATTGACCATTCTGAAAATCTTAGGGCCCTTAAGAATTATGCTAAATCTACTCTGCCTGTGCTCTATAAATGGACCAACAAAGCTTAGCTAACTGCACATCTGTTTACAACATGGTTTACTGAATATTTTAAGCCACTATTGAGATCTACTCCTCAGAAATAAAAAAAATTTTTTTTTCAAAATATCACTGCTCATTGTCAATGCACCTGGTAGCCCAAGAGCTCTGGTGGAGATGTTCAATGAAATTAATGTTGTTTTCATGTTTGCTAACACAACATCCATTCTGCAGCCCATGGATCAAGGAGCGATTTCAACTTTTAAGTCTTATTATTTAAGAAATATATTTCATAAGGCTATAGTTGCCATAGATAGTGAGCCCTCTAATGGATTTGGACAAAATAAATTCAAAACCTTCTGGAATAGATTCACTATTCTAGATGCTATTTAGAACACTTCTGACTCATAGGAAGAGGTTATGTCAGTGGAGGAAGTAGCTGCAGATGTGGTGGAAATAGCAAGAGAACTAGAATTAGAAGTTGACCCTGAAGATGTGACTGAATTGTTGCAGTCTCAAAATTTTAATGGATGAAGAGTTGATTCTTACTGATGAGCAAAGAAAGTGGTTTCTGGAAATTGAAACCACTCCTGGTAAAGAAGCTGTGAAGATTGTTGAAGTGACAACAAAGGATTTAGAATATTACATAAACTTAGTTGACAAAGCAATGACAGGGTTTGAGAAGACTGACTCTAATTTTGAAAGAGATTCTACTATGGGTAAAATACTATCAAACAGAATTGCATACTACAGAGAAATCATTCATGAAAACAAAAGTTGATCAATGCAGCAAACTTTACTGTTGTCTTATTTTCAGAAACTGACACAGCCACCTCAGCCTTCAGTAACCATGAGCCATCATCAACTAATCAGTCAGCAGACATCAACATCAAGGTAAGACTCTCCACCAGCAGAAAGATATGATGTTACTACTACAACTCACTGAAGGTTCAGGTGAAGACTAGCATTTTTAGCAATAAAGTATTTTTAAAATAAGGTATGTACTTTTTTTTAGATATAATGCTATTGCACATTTAATAGACTACTCATTAATCCCACTCCTGGGCATATATCCAGAAGGAAAAAAAATGTGACAATGCATATGTGTATGTTCATATATAATTGAAAAATTGTGCTCTACACTGGAATTTGACACAACACTGTAAGATGACTATGACTCAATAAAAATGTTTAAAAGTAGACTACAGTATAATGTAAACATAACTTTTATATGCACTGGGAAACAAAATAATTTGGGTGAAATTTTATTGTGATATACAATATTCACTTTATTACTGTGATCTGGAACTGAATCCGCAATATCTCTGGTGTATGCCTGTAGCTAGATCCTAGAGCTGTTTCTGTTCTGATATCTTCTCTATTTCAGTCCACATGCAGTCACCATCCCTTCATTATTGACTGAATTTAAATGTCTCTCTTCCTTGTAACAAACATACCATTCAATTCCACCTCCTTCAAAATCTAACTCAGATTTTCTTGGTCAGATTGAATCTTTCCTTCTAAAACAACTCTACAAACACATTGTTTGATTCTGATATATCATTAATCCTACTCACCTTTGTATGAAAATGGCATGTATGTCAGTATCTATGATTATATTTGGATAGGATTTTACTCACATGATGTTCTTTGCTCACCTAAAACAAATAGACAACCAGTTATTTCTTTAGAAAAAAAATGGTTATTCAGGATCAACAAAGAATTGCAATTAGGAGTCTGCAAACATGGGGAGCCATGTGCAAGTCCTCACACAGCAAGGAAAGGAAAACTTTTTAAAGAGGGGAAGAAGTTGGAAGGGCTATATTGAACAGAGTCCATTGGAAGAACTAAGAGTTTGAAGTATATTGGCTTTTCATTGGCTGAGTTGTAACAGTCTCTCATTATCTGAGCTCTTACTTGGCAAGAGGAAGACTTTCTTCTTCCTATTGGGCTCTGCTATCATTGTAGGGCATGAGAGTTCCCCTTTCTGGCTTCTCAACTCTGTTTTAATTGATGTTTCTATTTATTAATTTTTATATCCTCCAAAGCTGATGCTTAGTAAGTACTTAGTTGACTGAAAGGCTGCAATGTCAACTGAGAGAACTAGAAGTCATTTAAATGTTCAAACATAGGCCAGAAAGTCTGTCAGAGAGTCTGTAGGAAATATTCCTACATTGGGAGAGTAGACACAGAGGCCTATGACACTAACTTTTTCTATTGAAAAATGTTAAGATTCTGTACATTTTTCAGGATAAGAGCAATATCATGATGCTTTATGAGGAAACAGGGACTACATTACTACACTTAGAGTCAGAATGATATTTAAATAATATTTATTAAATTTATATTTGCACAGAGATAATGAGAGATGAAATCCAATGGGCCATAGATTCCTTAGAAATAATGTCCAGAATTTGTAATAAAGGGGAAATAGCCATGGACTGTTTCCATGTGAAGAGAAGGGAGTGGTTTATAGGAAAGTTATTAAAATCAGAGTTTTTCCAACATTCACCTTGTATAATTAAAATTTGAATGCATGGGGAAAAGCAATTAAACACTGTATCAACTATTATCAAACAAAAGACTTCCTTTAAGTAATAATTTTCTTTAACTAAAAAATATGAGACCTAACAGTTTCTGAATAAAAAGCAAAGTTATTATTTTCTAAGTGGTCAAGGAAATAACTAACTTTTTTCTCACTAGTTGTTTTCATTGCATTGAAACTATTTAAAAGCTACTTTAATTAAAAAAATTTCTGTATTTCTCCAAATAGAACAGCAGTGTTCTATCACCTGTGGTGCTGGGAAATTTTGCTATGACCCGTGGAAACTGCTGCTGTAAGATATTACTGAATCTTAACAAGGCTTTTAAAAAGAGGTTAGATATATAGGAATTAGAATAGGTTCTGCAAGTACAATAGCTAGGATGAAATTTCAAGGACTATTAGTCTTTATGACTTAGGTAATATGCTGATCACCAGCTGAGGTCAGAAAGGCCTTTCCCTGGTATAGTATTCTACAGTTAGAATCATTGGGTTTGGGGTAAGGTATGATTTTCAGTGAAGCATTCAACATTAGTCATTGTTGAACACAAGGTCAGACTTGGTGTCTCATTCGTTGGATCTCTTCTAGTTTACTTAAACTATGCAATGTGCTATTTTCAAGGATGTAGAAGTTAAAACTGACAACCGGATTACCATATTCATTGTTTGCAGTACATAATTATATGAAGAATGCATATCAGTTTCCGGTTAATATTAAACTATCTGTATGACAAGTTGATGTCATTTTTTCACAAGTTCCTTAACGAGACTGCTATACATAAACTGTCACAGTATAAAAATAGCAAAATAAGCTTTAAAATGAAAGTCAAAACATTTGTAGCTGTGAATTGCTATCATCAAACATCTTTGAATTTAAGACTTTATGGTTATTTTGATTTACAGTATAACCCCTAAGCTATGTCATGATAAATAGGGAAATTTCAAAATATATGAATCTTTGTTTACAACACACAATTGAAAATAATTTTTGAATAAAGTTAGTAAAGCTGATAATCAGCATTATTCTGTCCATTTGTAACTATTTTGCCTTATTTGAACACAATATTTTCAAACTTCATTCTCATTCACTTTTCATCATTGCGTTGGAAAGAACATTAAATTGGGAACCAAGACAGTCAGGTTCTTGTCTCAATCTTTCTGCCGATGAATTTAGGCATGCAATTAACTTAACTGGATCTTAATTATTGGTTTATAAAATAGAATAACTGGCCTAATATTATAAAAGATTCAGTCCTTTACTTCAAGTGTATTTGTCTTGAGTGTGGGAGTTAGTTACCAGATAGATGTTCTATTACCAATGTGAATTTACAATCCATTAGCATGTACTCAATTTTAAATTGTAGGTTATGTCAAAATTTTATACTAAACCTGTTTAATTTGGGGGTGCTTGGGTCCAACCCCAGAGATTCTGATTTCTCAAATCTAAGTTCAGGCCAGGAAGCTGCATTATATAAACAAGCATACCAGATAATTCTAGACTTTAAATATCTCTACAGGTGTTTTCTAAAAATATAGCTTATGCTTGTGATTGCACTAGTTAAGAGAAACTAATTTGAACACTGTCAATATCTGCTAATTTTGAGAGTGTTTTTCTGGTTAAAAGCTAGACAGTCAATGATAACAAACTAACAAAATATCTTAAAGATAAGCTTTGTGCATGGTTGTTACCAGGATAACCGAAAGAAAAAAATCCTGGCATGTTCACTCTTGCCTCCAAAGACATTCCCAACTTAATAATAAAACTTCTAAACTATTAAACCACATGTCTCCATGAGTATCCTCATAATATTTTCTAGACTTTCAGATAAAGCTTATAACAAACTTCTGATTATCCCAGCTGTTGCTCAAGTAGAAAGAGAGAAACTTGATAACATCAAAAGAAAGTAGTCCAAATTTGAAAGAAAATTTCCTAGGGTATTCTGACAGAAATAAACTTCTGTTAAGATATCAAATTACATGCTAATTTAATTGTTCTAGCACCTTGAGCAAAGCTTTCTAGACTTTGCTGATCATTGATAACTTTGCCATGGGGTTTTGTGTATTCATAAAAAGAAATATGCCTATATCTCTCACAGATGAATATTTAACCTTTGGTATATTTAATCTAAACCATAGCAGCATTTTTTACCACTAGTCTACCTCTGAGATTACTCCTCCCATGAATAATGAGAAATTTTGAATTTGGCAGCATGATCCTTTATTGTGAGCATCACTTGTTCTTTTCTCTGATCGATACATGTATATCACCCCCACCCAACTTCTCCCTTTCTAGGCTTTTATGCCATTAGAAATAGCCACTTGAAGTTTTAATTGAATATAACTCATTGCTCTTTGCATAGTATGTCATCTGACTACCAGGCAAGAAGACTGGACACGACTTACTCTGACAATTTTGCAATGACTGCAAACACCTTTGATGTTTTTTAATACCAGTGCCTAAACTCATTTTGGGGGGAATAAAGTAGCTGCCTCTCTGATATCTATTTCTTGGAGACAGCTAATCAGCCTCTCACTATATTGCATGTTCCACATTAAGTCATTATTTATCCTACTCATTCCATTAATTCTGCTACTTTTATTAGCAAAGTTTTGGTGCCTGGTCCTGTAGTAGTGACAAGCATTCCTAGAAGCTAATCTGACAGATAATGACTCCATTAAGTGTTGAATACTAATTGGTTTACAACAGAGGCCTGAAAGTAATTGATGTAAATAAATCAGCACCTGAGCATGTATTGCCTCAGCTTTGGATTTTCAAAATACCAATGATTTTTGAAACTTGCATCTTTAGTAAAACACAATGCATAGAAACTTTGTGAAGAGTTAAAATATGGCAATGAGTCAAAATATCAAACAAGAGGAATGCAGATTTTTATATTCATTTCTAGGCAAGGTGGTGTTCGTGTATGAATTATATGTTAATAATAATGATATATAAAAGTTAGATTTCAACTACCTTTCCAAAGAGCGTATTTCTGTACTGGTATTGTTCCTGGAATTAATAACCAATCACTTATAATTCCTTAAGAAGTCAAAGAATGTGACTTAAAGAACTAAAACGAGGCCTAATTTCTTGACACTTAATTTGGCAAATCTTTTATTAAACCTTGAAATCAAGTTTGGTTATATTTTCTTTTCACTATTGGCTTTAAATTTCAACTTGATAAGCAACATAAGCAAATATTTTTAGAGTAGAAAACTTAGAAAATCCATAAAAGTATAAAAATAGCTTAAAATTTACCATAATGCCATTTTTAAAGTTAATAATTTTGTGTTTTTCCTTTTTGCTATCAATATGTTATATGATTAAAATCATATTGGAGAGTTAATACCTTGTTTTTTTCCTATATGTCAAAGTATTTCTTAATTTCACTAAGGCCTATTCATAAGCATATTTAATGGAAATATATATACATATTACATATATATGTGTGTGTGTGTATGTGTGTGTATTACCCTTCTCACTAGGTATTTGGATTATTTCTAATATGATTCTATTTTGAATAATACTGTAAAAAATATCTATATACTCACTACATACCATGTTCTTAAGATGTAGTTCCAAACGTGAAATTACTGTTCAAAGAGTATGCTCTTGCTATATATTGCCAACTTGTTCTCCAAAATGATTATTAAGAATTTCCATACAGAAGTGGTAGAACAAAATTAGACAGCAAAATCTTCTTTCCAACATCTAACAAAATTTCCCCAGATTTATTTGTCTGTTTTAAAATTTACACTTCTGAATGACATTTCTGCCAAATAAAGTACTCTTGTTTGACAGTTTTATATTTCTTATTCAACACTTTGAATGTATCATCTTACTCTCTCCTGGCTTATATGTTTTTCGATAAGAAATCCACTAATAGCATTATAAGCGTTCCCTTGTAAGCTACAAACATTTTTTTCTTTTGCTACTTTTAGTATTTTGGGGTTTGATATTATCAGTTTTAGTATAATGTATCTCTGAAGTCATTTTTTTTAAAAAATTGGTATGCTACTATCTTTTAAAAATTTATTTTTATTTTATTTAAATTTTGTTGGGGGAAGTAATTAGGTTTATTTGTTTTATTTTTTAATGGAGGTACTAGGGATTGACTCCAGGACCTCGTGCCCTCCCCCTTTCTGAGGCCATTTTTAAAAATGATTTTTCTTAATGACATATGAAGTTCATGAAATTTTGTATTTTAATTTCATTCCAAATTTGGGAGGTTCTCAGCCTTTATTTCTTTAAAGCTTTATTTTCACTTCTCTCTCTCTCTTCTCATTTTGGAACTCCAATAATTCAAAAATCAATGCTTTTGATGGTACCCATAAATCACATTGATTTTCTTTGCTCTTTCTTTATCTTTCTTTATCTTCTTTTTATTGTTTTCTCCTCTAATTGGGCATTTCTTTTTCTTTTCTTTTATCTTCTCATTGGGTAATTTTCATTGATCTGTTCTCAAGTTACTTATTCTTTCTCTTGCTTGGTTAAGTCTGCTGTTGAAACTCAACTTTGTGTTCTTCAGTGCAGTCATTGTTCAGCTACAAAATTTCTGTTCGATCCTTTTTGTGCTTTCTATCTCTATTTTAAACTTTTCACTTTATTTTTATATATTTTTGACATCTTTAAATTATTTATCTGTATTTACTTGTCGTTTTCTGGGCAGCTTTAGAAAAATTAGTTTGAATTTTTAGGTAATCCATAAATCTTTATTTCTTTAGAGCCAATTGCAGGAAGTTTACTATATTCCTTTGGTGGTTTCATGTTTCTTCA